TATCTATCTATCTATCTATCTATCTATCTATCTATCTATCTATCTATTTTGAGATAGGCTTTCTCTGTAGCTTTGGAGCTTGTCCTGGAACTAGCCCTGTAGACCAGGCTGGCCTCGAACCCACAGAGATCCACCTGCCCACTCGGTCTCTCGACAAGGTCTCTCACTGAACCTGGAGCTTACCATTTATTTGGCTAGGTTGGTGGTAAGCGATTCCTTAAGACTGACCTATCTCTGCCTCCACACCAATGTTGGGGTTTTAAGGTTATACCACAGCCTCGGGGCCCAGCTTCTCCATGAGTGCTGAGGACCCAAACTAGAATATGTAGCACCCACTTCTTCCACTGAGCCTTCTCCCTGGCCTGTATTTTGTTTTTGAGAAAGGGTTTCATTATGTAGCTCAGGCTAACCTGGAATTCACTTGGTAGCCCAGGCTGGCCTCAAATTCACCGCCCACCTGTGTCGGCATTCTAAGCGCTGAAATTGCCGGTTATGTGCCCCCAGACTGGGTCACCTGAAATTTTGAATAAAACTTTTTATGAAAGGTAGAGTGGGCAAGAGATGAGCGAGGCTCCTAAGTTCACTCCTTGTTAACCCAGCGAATCTAAATGAAAAACGTGTGGGCAGGAGAGCACTAAGAGATTTCCAAAGGAAGAGCCCTTGTGAGGCCCTGTGTGATGGCAGGAGCCCACGGGAGGGGGCGGGCTCCTTAGGAAGCCCGGGGGCCTGACCTGACAGGCTGTAACCAGATCCCTGTTGGACTGTCCTCCTCACATCTGGCCCAGGGTCCCCATCTCAGGGAGGCCCCCTTGGCCCTTTGCCCTGGGAAGGGGTGGGCACTGGGTCATGGTGGGGTGGGTGGAGAGGTCAGGAAGGGCATGGGGCGGGCTCGCAGTGGGACGCTCTGTGCTGGGAACCTAGGCCCTGGCACCCTGGTGCCCCAGCAGCTGCTGGTGTCTGTCAGCCCCCCTGGGGGCACCACAAGGCCGCCACCTCTACATCTTCCTGACAGGCCCCTCTTCTGAGGCCAGGAAAGAATAACAGCCCCCTCCTGCCGCAGCCCATCTGTCAGGTGAAGGCCGGGCACCACACCTTTCACCTCCTCAGAGTCAGCCGTTCCTGTCAAGGCCCTGTGGGGCCAGGAGACGAAGATGGATGGAGGTGTCTGTTTGCAGAGAAAGCCCTTGGCTGCAGCCAAGGGGAGTGGGTCCAGAAGGGAAGGGCCCTGGCTTCTGGTCTTGCTGGGGGTAGCTGAAAGGGGAAGAGGAAAGAAAAAAGTCAAGGGGAGGTCCTGGGGACCCTGGAGGCCCCCAGCTGGGCCACACCTGAGCCATCCCTCAGAATGCTGGAAATATCCCCCATTGCTCGTGACAAACAGGCATTCCATGACCAGATAGGCCGGCTTCTGAGCTGGCCACCTCAGCCACCTGTGTCTGGAGATGCTGAAGGTCGGTGCGAGGTCCCCATTTAAAGAATCTAGTCCTGTCATCCCTGGGCACTATGGTCAAAAGAGAATGAGAGATTTTATCCTCAGTGGTGAAGTGTCATTGGTAGGAGAGGCCTCATAGGGCTGTGTGAATGTAAGTGAGCTAGTACCCAAGGCAAGAGGAGGCTGGCAGAGACAGATGGTCAAGGTATAAGGAAGCATGGGTCTTCTTTTTCCTAACTGTGTAGAGGCCCCATTGGATTGAAAGATGCCCACCTTAGCCCCAAATTATTATTATTACCTCTCCCTCTGTGTGTGTGTGTGTGTGTGTGTGTGTGTGTGTGTAAATGTGTGTTCGTGTGAAAGCCAGCCTCTAATGTTATCCCTCAGGATACCAGCTTGTTTTTTAGATCTGATCTCACAGACCTGGAGCTTACTGCATCAGCTAAGATGGCTGGTCAACAAATCCCAGGGGTCAGCTTATCTCTTCCTTCCCAGCAGCTGGATTTGGAACACACACCACCACACTTGGCTTTTCACATGGGTTCTGGAACCAAACGCAGTTCTTTGTGCTTGCGAGACAAACACTGTACTCACTGAGTCATTGTCCCAGGACACAGATTCCTTCTTCTATGGCCACAAAACACATATAACATAAGCATGGTTTGGGGAGTCAGGAGGATGTGGGTTCAAATCCCAGCTTTTCCATTAATAAGTTTAATGGCATTGAACAACTCATTTGATCATATGATCCTCATTTTTCCTTTCTGTAAAATGGAAATAAATGTCTTCCTCATTGAGCTGTAAAGTGAGGTTGCTTATGAAAACTGATGACAGCCCCGTATACTATATCACCTTCTCGCTATTCTATTTCTGTGAAGAGACACCATGACCAAGGCAACTCTTATTAAAGAAAGCATTTAACTGGGGGCTTCCCTACAGTTTCAGAGGTTTAGGCCATTATCATCATGGCAGGGAGCATGGCGCTGGAGAAGTAGCTGAGAGCTACATCCTGATCCAACGACAGAGAGAGAGAGAGAGAGAGAGAGAGAGAGAGACTGACTCTGGGCTTGGCATGGGGTTTCAAAACCTCAAAGCCTACCCCCAGTGACACACCTCCTCTAACAAGGCCATACTTCCTAGTCCTTCTAATCCTGCCTCTCCCTGGTGACTAAGCATTCAAATATACGAGCCAATGGCGGCCATTCTTATTCAAACCACCACACATCTTATGATAAAACTAAGATTGTTGCCTTAAGGACAATGCCAGCTGTGAAATACTAAAGTGCCACGAAAGAGGTTGTCAGTGGTGAGCAGACAAAGGTGCTGTCCCCACTGTCACCTTCAGCAACCCAGGGAACTCTTCTAATCTTTCAGGGATTAGCTTGGGCCATACTGAGATTTCAGAACTAGCCAGTTTGTGAAGCAGAGCCGGGAGCCAGGGATTTTATTAACCATGATTTTTAAATATAGGCTGGAGAGGAAGAGAGAAAGACATCCCTGAGAGCTCCGGGGCAGGGGATGTAGCTTCCCGGGGGAGAGCAAGAGAAAGTAAGACACACCCAGAGCTGGACACCTGGCTTCTCCAAGAAAGAGTAAACAGTGATTGGTCTTGCCTCAGTTTACATGCCCAAAGGTTACTAAGAAACCCTTCCTCCTCTTTGAAAAGAGATATAGAGGAGTTGGCTCCAGAGATGCCTTGAATGGAATTATCACCAGATGCGGCAAAAAAAAAAAAAAAAAAAAAAAAAATCCCAAGTCACTATGGTTGGACAGGGACTTTAATGCGTGTTTCCCCTCTAGGGGTTCTTCTGGTGAAATTCCTAGAGATTAGATTCTGGCTGGGAAGAAAGCCCACAGGTGGCTGAGGATTGTGCTGGGGTTCCTGTCTGTCTGCTGGTGAGAGGCTCCCGTTTGGTTCCAGAGTGAGGAACCTTTCTTCTTATCTCTCCACAGACTTTCCCTAGCAGGGTCTCACTATGTATCCCTGACTGTCCTGAAGTTCACTGTGGATCACAGACTGGCCTCAAACCCTCAGACATCCTCTTGCCTCTGCCTCTCGAGTGCACACCACCATGTCCGGTTCTGAAGCAGAATCCTGAGAGATGGGGTAGGAGACAGGACCAAACTGAGTACGTTAGACATGGCTGTGGTCAGGACTGGAAATCTGGAAAACTCGGATTACCAAAGGGGGCGGGCACAGAGATGATTGATTATCTTGCCTATAAACCAAATCCTCAGGTGACGATCCAGGCTGTGACAGCAACACCTCCTAGTCTCAGTCACCCAGCACTGTGTCTTTTTGCTTGTTTGTTTGTTTTAGCTGCATGTATGTCTGTGTGCCACCTGTGTGCTTGGTGCCCATGGACGTCAGAAGAGGGCATCAAACCCCTGGAACTAGAGTTACAGATGGTTGTAAACCACCATGATGGTGTTGGGAATCAAACTCAGGTCCTCTGCAGGAACAAAAGTGCTCTGAATCACCGAGCCGTCCCTCCAGTCCCATGCATCTTTCTGCCATAATCTACTTCTGGACCTGTGTTCTCCACACGAGGTGGCTGTTCACACTCGTATCATATCCAGGGTGCCCCAAGGAAGGAGACAAGGCAGGTACCCTCTTCACATCTCTGTCCACTGGAAGGAGCCTTTCTGGAAGTCTTCAACCTTGGCATCTTGTTCCATTGACCAGACCCGTGCGCTTGGCCATGGAGAGTCCCAAGGAGGGGTAAGGAAGCTGCACCCCACAATCCTTCCCTCTTCCTCCCCACCAGAATGGTTATCGAGGAACGGGGAAAGTGGAGTTACTAAGTAGGACAGAGAGCACCCCATTAAGTATGTGCCATCGGCTGCTTGGGACGTGCTTAGACTTAAGGAGAAAAACAAGAGGTGATGTATCTGAAATTCCAGTTTAATTGCGTGCTTTTCTCTTTCTCCTTAGTCTCCTCTCTGCTAAGAGCAGACTCCTGTTTCGCATGGGAAAAGCCCTGGCTTTAGTTTTTAAGATAGGACATTGCATTTGGACCACAGGGTCTGGAAGGAAACTTTAAATGGGGCCATCCAGGCAGTGGTGTGGTGATCGGATAATCTTTAATGATGGGCTGTCGGCCTGCTGCTGGAAGAGTCCTGGGTAGTCCCTGAAAAGCAAGAGAAGATGAAGGTGATGAGGAGGGTGGAGGAAAGGTGGCCCCGGTGGAGGGGTAAGGATCCCGACAGGACCCTGGGTGGGAAGCACTGAAGGAGGAGAGGGGGACCACGGGCCTCAGTAGGAGCTTGGGATACTGGTCACTCCCTTCTCTGGGCCTCCCTTTCCAACTGTTTCTTTCCAGGCAACAGAGCCATTATGTGGGGGAAACAGTTAAGCAGATAGGACAGCAAGCCAGCGATTTATGTGGTGTGGGAACAGCTCCGGTTTCCCTCACTGTTTACCCAGCAGTATTTTTCAAACCAGAAATCAGCATGCGGGGAACCGCAACTGTGAATTATGGGCTCTGGCTGGAAGGGTCACGAGGGCGCCTTTTCCAGAGTGCTGCCCACCAGACTGCCCCTTCCAGCTCTGTCCAGGTGGGAAGGGTGGCCCTGGGCAGGCTCTATGAGGAGACCCAGCATCCCCTGGGTGGTAATGGTTAAAGCTATAATGAGAACCTACATGAGAGCTCAGACCAGCTGGAGGGAGGCTTGGGAGGACACGGGAGACGGGGACCCTCAACCATTTGGCACCGACAGCTTTGCTTTGAAAGGACATGTGCTGGCGTTTACCAGGTCTTTCTGTTTTTCAAAAGAAGCCACAATTCTGGACTTTTAAAGTAAGCAGTCTCTCCATTATTTTTACATTTGTTTACTTATTATGTGTGTGCGCTTGCACACACATTCACACACATGCACGCATGCCACGGTGAACAGGTAGTGATCAGAGAACAACTTTTGGGAGTTAGTTCTCTCCTTCCACCGTATGGGTTCTAGGGATCAAACTCGGGCTGTCAGGCTTAGTGTAAGTATCTGTAGCTACAGGGCCACCTTGTCAGCCCTCCAATGTAAATGTTGAGAACGGATTTAAAACACTGCTGGTCAGGTCAGGGCCTATGAAGGGCCAGGAAGAGTGAGTAGTGCATACCTTTGACCCCAGCACTCAGGAGGCAGTAGCAGGCAGATCTCTGTGAGTTTGAGACCAGCTTGGTCTACATAGCAAGTTCCAGGCCAGGCAAGGCTACATGGCGAGACTCTGTCTCAAACAAGCAAACACTTAAATAAACAAAGAAGTTTATGGGGCTGGCTGAGTATGGTGGCTCATGTCTATAATCTTAGTATTTAGGAAGCCGAGGCAGAAGGATTGTGAGTTGTGGGTTATCCTGGCCTACATAGCCCAACCTGTTTCAACAAGCAAACAAAACAAAACAGAAAGCTTGTGAGAAGAGGTCATTAAATTGCAATCCCTGGTCTCATCTGTCTCCCTGCTTCCTGGAGTCACCCGCTGAGTGCTGGGAAAGCTGTAGGTCCAAGAACCTACCTTGTTCCCCAGGCTTTCCCCGGGAGGGTCTCACCAAGCAGCTTCTCAGTTGTCCCAAGTGGCTCTCATTTGCATAGATGTGACATATATGAACCCAACATAACCCACTTGCTTTTGGCATTGACCATGAGGGAGTACAGCTGACGAGGACTCTCGTCTTCACTGATAAGCACATAAAGGCTCAAGACTCAAGCAGCTTGGTTATAAAGTTACAGTCTTTGAAAAGGATGGGGCCAGGACCTCTAATTACAGATGTAGGTCGTTCTGCACCCAAACTCTGTTATCCCATAAAAAAGCCAGATCCAAACTGCTGAATGGGATCTGCACATGAATAAAATACTCAGTAAACAGAATACTCGTTGTAATTTAAAATTAATGGAAGATCCCTAGGTTATCAGTTCTTGAAGGGAAAGAATAAGGAGGAAGCTATTTGAAAGAACAGTGGCACTGGGCAAGGTTTGCTGGCTCGCTGCTGGCCCCAGAGGGCTTGGCAGATGCTCCAGGACAGTCGTTCTCAACCTTCCTAATGCTGTGACCCTTTAATACAGTTCCCCAGGTTGCAATGACCCCCAACCATAAAATTATTATCGTCACTACTTCATAACTATAATTTTGCTACTTTATGAATCATAATATAAGTATCTGATAGACACAGTGTCTGATATGCGACCCTGTGAAAGAGTCCTTCAACCCACAGTTAGAGAGCCACTGCCCTAAGGGCATTGTAGTAATGTCTGCCTTCTGTTGTCTGAGAGGGGACAGTAGCAGAACGTGGGGAGGCGCTGGCGCCTCCACGCCTCCACGCCTTCTCTGTCTCTGTCCTCTGAAGAGCAGCAGCTTAGGAACCACAGTAGCCTGGGAGGGCTGGGGGCAGTTAATTCTACCAAGCTTCCGCTTCTTCCACAGGCTGCTTCTGTGCTCACAATCCAAGCTTCTACTAACCAGAGAGCCTCGGAGCTCGCGGCGTCAGAATAGCGGGAATCGTAGCCGATTGGAGATTCATTGGTGAAATCAGAGGCCCAGAGAGGTTAGATGGCATTGACTAAGAGACGGGATGTAAAACATTTGGGTTTCTGATTAACCAGCTTTCTTCTTAGAGTCCCACATAGAAGCAGAAAAAGATTCAGAGGAACTTAAAGACCCACTCACCATCACACACACACACACACACACACACACACACACACACACACACACACAC